TTATGGAAAGTGAGAGTAGTACTAAGGGTTCAGGGAGATTCATCTAAACATCAGCAAGCTTTGAGTATAAATGACTTTGAAAGCATCTGAAGTATGGGTTTTTTAAAGGAAGATGCACCCTACTCTACACCATGGCCCACACCTACAATCTCTACTTGTGTGTGATCACAAAGGAGGTCTAGGACAAGGATGGATAGATCAACACAAGTCCGTAACTACTATTAGAGAGAAGAGATCACCTGCCTTTCTGATAATTGCTGACATGCAATGAGGGATGGTTACAGAAAGATAATGTGTTATGTTCTTGACTTGCATTATCTCCTTTAATCCTCACATCAACCCTACGAGGAAAGTACTCAGCCATCATCCTCAATGATCTTATATGACTCACCCAAAGGCACTTCTAGCATTTGTCAGAGCCAGGAATTCCATTTAGGTTTCTCTGATCCTAGAGGCTCATCCTGTTAGCTATGCTGCCTAGAAGTGAGATAGTAGGCATAATATTCACTTATGAGAACATCTTAGATACACAATCATACATGAGATGAAGCCCAGCTGATCTATAAGCCAAGTTGGTGACCTTATCCACTTGGCACTTGATTTCGGGACACGAATATTCACTCTAAAGCACACCCACAGTGTAGTCAAACTTTGCCTTTTCTCAAGTTTCTGCAGATCCCTACCAAAGTGAAAATTTAAGAAAAATATCAACTTTTACCCCTATTTGTTATCTGTTTTAAATCATCAAAGCATGTATAATTCTCATTTTCATAGAAAAAAAGTAATAGCCTTTTGGAAACTAGAACTGTGCTTGAAAAAGTTACCAACCATTGGTTTTGCTAATGAAATGAATGTAAGTGAAGTTTATATTTGTCTCTGCATTTTTCAACATTTGCCAATTCTTGTTCAGAAGCAGTAGATGTGACGTAACTATTTAACACTTGGGCTCTGTGACTAGACATGCAATTTTAGCAGTAGGGAAGATAATAATATCCTGGTGGAAAGACTGCAAAACTAGGAGAGAGTCTGAGCATTCTTCCAGAGCAGGAGATCACCCCACTCCTCATTATCACAGCCAGGGCATGAACTCACAGAGACTTGAGGGCAAATTCATCAGCACATTCTTGGTCTGGTTCTCCTAGGACTCAAGCACACCACCCAGAGGCTTGGGGACTGGAAATTACCTAAACTACTTCACTACTATTGGCACCTGAACGCTCCCCCACTCTCCCTGGCTCTGACAGTTACTCATCCAAAGTCATAGGAGTTACTGACACAACTTGCCAATAATATGATAGTGGGTAACTATCTGAATGAGCTGGAAGGCCATGTACTTCTCCCACTCTGCACTGAGAAGCAGAGTTTGCAGCAAAGGAAAACAGGTGAAATATAAATCTATCTGGATTGAGCTGAGGGTAGAGGTTCTAGATGAGAAGCAACCGGCATAAAAACTCTGACAATATGAAAAAGCAGGCTCTTTTGACACCCCCAAAGGATCATACTAGCTCTCCAGTGATGAGTTCCAACCAAAAGGAAATTTTGAAAATGTCAAATATAGAATTCAAGATAATGGATTGGAAGTAACTCAATGGTATCAGCAAGAAAGTCAAACAGCAGTGCAGAAAGATAATTCGGGGTGTGGATGAAAATATTAAGGAGAGAGGTATTAAAAAAAATAGCAGAACTTCTGGAAATGAAAGAGTCATTTAGGAAATTTCAAAATAGAGTGGAAAATTTTAAAGATTAAACCAAGCAGAAGAAAAAACTTCAGAACTTGAAGATAAGGCTTTAAAGTTAACCCAGTCAGTCAGAAAAATAAAGAAAAAGTCAAGATAAATGAACAAAGTCACTGAGAAATATGGGATTATGTAAAATGCCCAAACACATGAATCATGGGTATACCCGAGGAAGAAGAAAAAGTAAAAAGCATGAAAAAACTATTACAGGGAATAATGAAGGAAAACCTCCCTCGTCTAACTAGAGATTTAGATGTCCAGATACAAGAAAATCAATGAACTTCTGGAAGATTCAATGCAAACAGGACATCACCAAGGCACATAGTCATCAGTCTGGCCAAAGTGAAAGTGAAGGAGAAAATCCTAGGAGCTGTGTAACAGAAA